AGATGGAAAAAAGAAAAGAGGAGGAAAAAAAAAGTTTTCTGTTCATGTCAATTAAAAAATTTATAGAAAACAAAGCAAAGCCTTTTTGGTATAGTTTCGCTAGCTAGCTTGGTATAGCCCTCCGGTATAGGCAAAGCCTTAACCGGTGAGGCAGACCGCTCTTGGGCACCTCTTGAAGAAGCTGAGAGATATTGGATCTACAACTTAGATAGTTTAATATATGTATACATATATATTTTGATCTAATAAAAGATACTGGCGAGGCTGCTGAGAATTTTAAAAAAAAAAAAAAATAGTCCTTATTTTTTTAAAGCAAGAAAATTTAGAGAAGGAATATTGAAAGGCCCTAAACAGGGTGCAATTATGACTGTTCAATGTTTAGAACAGTCTATTGAAGATCTTAAAAATGAAATTCAAGAAGAAAATAATGATGAAAAACTGAAATTTAATTAAAAATTTTTATTTTATATATTTTATTTTAAATAAAAAACTAATCAGTTATTAAACCGGTTAGATTTTTTTTTGTGTAATTCAAAATGATATTACGAAATAATCTTTATTTGTTAAAGTCAAAATCAAAATTTCAATATAATTTTTCATATAATTTTTCTACAAAATATGAAACTTACAAAAAAAAAAGATTTAATGTATATTCCAATTTTTGTTCAAAGAAGTTCTCATCAAACAAAATCCAATAATATTAATTATTGTTTAAAATGTCAATATAATAAAAAAAAAGAATTATTATCTGTTGGTATAGAAAATATATCTTTGGAAAATTTGGGGATCATTGGGATTATCTAACATTAATATCTCACGAAAAAAAAATGAAATAACTATTTGGGACAAAGAACATTCTGATTATGATCGATATATTTAATATCTTGAAGAAGGATATGATTCAGATACTAAAGTATCAGATACTGAAGTTATAAATGCTGAAGTTATAGATACTGAATCACATCTAACTAAACTTTTGGATTATGAAAGTGATATAAATATAAAAGAAATAGAAGTAGCAGATAAACCAGTTAAATATATAACTAAACAAAATAGTATTGTTCAGGACAATAATATTATCTTTACAGACCAAGAAATTTTTATGGATGATAGCTCCGAAGATTTGTTTTTAGAAGAAGAAGCTCTTAAATCAGGTTTAGAAAAAAATTGTAATTTTATTTAATCAGTCTTTTTAAGACCGATTAAATTTTTATTTATATAATTATAAATATGGAAGAATATAACTTTGCAAAAGAAAATTAACAAATTTTAAATAGTTTTAATCCTCAATATTTTACATTTATCAACACATTAAAATCTATTAAAAAATGTGGATTTTTTACAGATGCTGATGCTGTAATTAAGAAAATTAGAAGTTAAATTGAAGTTAATATTAATTTGATGCAACAATATCAAGCTACAATTAATAAATATGAACAACAAATTAGAGAATTTTCTCTATATTTGCTAATTTCTGGTGATAAAAAAATTTGGCTCAGTTGAAGAAATAATACACAAAAAGATTTTTACAATTATCTTCAAGCAACTAGCAGAGCTAAAGAAAAAGATAAAACATTTGAAGAATGTGCTCGAAGAGAAGCTTTGGAAGAAGCAGATATTGAAATAAAAGAACTTATATTTGTTTGTTTTCATGAAGGATTTAGAGAATTTCCTGATGAAAATACTTGTTTATTTAAAACTGCAATATATTTTTCAGTTATTGGTAAACAAGTTCTAGTCCAAACCGAACCAACAAAAAATGATTCATAGATTCCTTATGAATTAAAAGAATTACCAAATCTTAAAGTAACTGGTTCAATTAAAAAAGTTATAATCAAATTTCTGATGCTATTAATAGTAAGTTCAGAAGTATTAGAAACAAAAGATGCCATAAACTTGAGCCTGAGCCTGTTGAAGAAATTAAAAATAGTATTGAAACTAGTAGTATTGCTAAAGAGCATGTTGAGAGTTCTATTAATAAAGTAGTATCTTATTCCTCAAAAGAAGTTGAAAAAAGATTAGCAAATAATAAAAGATATAGAAATTGAAGGAGAGAATTATAAATTTATTTTTAATTTTATTTTATTTATTTATTTAATAAATATTTATTCTACTCAGTTTATAACCAAATAGATTTTTAACATTGTAAATAAAAATAACAAGAAGAAAATGTAAAGAAAAAAATTATAAATTTTTAATTAAAAAGAATGAAATATTTTAATAAATTAAATAAATATTCTATTCAGTTAATAACCGAGTAAAATTTTATTTATGTAATCTTAATAATGAATAATAAAAAGGTAATTATTTACTAAGTATTTTTGTTTAGTTTCTTTATCAAAATATAAATTATCGCTGTGGGAATAAGCTTTCTGGCATTAGGATTTTATCTGTGAATAGCAGAAAAAATCGACCATGTAGATTTTGATAACAAAATTCTGTGAAAAAAGTACAAGTACTTAGTATTAGAAATAATGATTGAAGCAATGACAACAATTTGCTCATATTTTTTATTTATTTTTAGTTAACACCAAAGCAAAAGAAGGATGAACTTGAATTATTTCTTTTAAAACTTTTATGAGAAAATTCAATTGAATGCAATGCGACAAGAACAGGTTATTTTGTTAATTCAATATTTACCCCTATTAGTGATGGTGGGATTGATTTATTTGGTAATTACAAATTGATAAACTACATTATGCAGGTTAAAAATAAAGCAGAAAAATATAAAGTTGGTTCAAAAGATATTCAAGAATTTTCTGCAGTATTAGCAAAACAAGCAAAAGATACTATAGGATTTTTTGTTACAAATTCTACTTATTCTATAAATACACGTAATGAGACAAGTAACTCAAAGCAATAAATTATTCTTTATACGAAAGATAATGTGATTGAAAAAATCAAAGCAACTAAATTAAATTTAGAAAACAAAGAGTTACAAAAAAATTTATTTGAATTAAATGATTTGGTAATCAAAGATCTTGAAATCGATTCTAATGAATCTACTGTATATTTGTTTGGTATAAAAATTGATAGAAAATGTAGAATTGGATCTATGCAAATTAAAGATAGTAATTGTAGATATAGGCTTTATTAAATCTATTCAGTAATAATTACCGAATAGAATTTTAATTCTGTAAAATAGATTTTAAAATAAAAATATATATTACTGAACTTGAGATTTTATTAAAAAGTTAATTGACAATATTAACAACAACAAAGAATATTCTTTAAAACAAGAATATTTATCAGAATATCATCAAATCAAAATTGAAAGTAAATATAATAATATCTCTAAAAATGTAGAAAATGAATATGTATATAAAATCAAACAAGAAACATTAAGACGATTAAAGAGAAAATATCCTAATAAAGTAGTTAGAAGAAAAAGAATTAAGACAAAAGAACCAAAAATTATTGTATTAATGGAAGCTATTGGTGTAGAAAAATCAACATTTAGAGAAAAATTTAAAAGTTATTTAGAAGAAAAAGAATATAAAGTTTATCAACCAGTTGAAGCATCTTTACTTCTCAATGATGAATTAAAACTCTTTTGCAAAGATTCAAAAAATAATGCTTTATTTTTTTAATATACAATTTTAATTTTTACAAAAAACAAGCTGTAGAAATTAATATGATTGATTTATACGATTTTGTAATACTTGATCGAATACATATTGATACTGAAGTTTTTACACTAATGAATACTAAAGATAAAGAAATTATTGATTTTTTAGAAAAAAAAAAAAAAAATTAAAATAAAAAATATCAACAAAGTGCTTTATTTAAAACCTACAAACAAAAATAAGATTAAAAGACAACGAAAAAAAGATCAAGAAGCAGAAACATATACCGATGAATATTTAATTAAACTATCTGATTTTTATGAGAAATTAATTGATAAAATTTATCCATCTCATAATAAAATTGAAAATAATGTATTGTTGAGGAGTATGAGAAGAATTATTTTAAAGAGTTGTTCAATAAATTTACTATTTAATATAAATTTATTTTTTATAAATATTTTTATTTTATACTATCTAGTCATCATCTGACCAGATAGTTTTTTTTTATATAAATTAAAATGTTTTCTGTAAAACCAAATTAACAAAAAAAAAGTTTATATAACCATCTTAAATATTTATTTTATAATAGAGCAACAGAAGATAATGAAATTCTTTAAAATATAATTAATTTTATAATATCTATTTAGTTGAAAAAACCAAATAGAAATTTATTTACATAATTTTAAAAAATTTTATTTTTAAATATCATATAAAAAATATTATAAAATTTTAAAATTTAATATTAAAAATAATATTGAACAAAAATCTTTACAAGAAGAAATAGAAAAAAATATATATATTTTTATTTTTAAACAAATTAATAATTTTTTAATTATAATAGCTTTGATAATGATTATATATCAATTATTTTTAAAAATATCTACTAGTTAATCTTTTGACTAACTAGAATTTTATTTATACAAAAATAAAAATATCAAATATTTTTTATATTTACGATGCTGCTGATTTATCAGCTTTATACAACAAATATTATTTACTTCGTTTATATACAATTAATTCTGAAGAAAAAAGATTTATATTTAATGTAAAGATCGAAAAAGTATTTTTTGATATTAAATCAACACAACAAAGTAAAAGTGTATCAGAATATATTGATGAATTTGATCCATCAAGTTATGAAATTATTAAGAAACAACCATTTGATTCAACAGAAAAACATAATTTTATTTGTCTTTATTTTAAAAATCTAACTAAAAGAAAAAAAGTATTAAAGTTAATTATAGAAGAAAAGTTTCAATTAGTGGATGTTGAAAAGAATCATGAAGAATTTGAAGAATATTGGCAATAATATAATACTTATTCAGATAATAACACTTGTCATTATCGAAAAATAGCACGTGAAAATAATTTTGAGTTAGTTGGATGGTATCAAATTAACAAACAAACAATAATAAACAACATGGAAATAACTTTGATGATATAATAAAAACAGAATATACAACACAAATTCCTCTAATATTACTATATTGGGATATAGAATGTAGTAATGCAAGAGGACCTAGATATTTTTCTGTTAGAGAAGAATAACAAGATTACATATATATGATTCAAATAAATTTTTACTACTTATCCGATCTAATACTATTTAAACATTTTTGTTTAACTAAAATTCCAGTAAATTAAAGTTTATATGATAAAAAATATAGCAACAATCAAATTATTAATATTCAATCACAAGAAGAATTAATTATAAAATTTTTTGAATTAATCAAAAAATATTTACCTTTTTTGAGATTAGATTTAATACTGGAGGATTTGATTGGAATTTCATATTAAAAAAAGTGCATTTATTAAATATTGAAAAAAAATTAGTCAAATATTGGAACAAGAAAATATAGTAAATAATATCAGAGAAACTATGATAAAAGTAGTTGAAAAAGATATTGAAGAAAAGATGCAGAGAAAAATTTATGGAATTGATAGTTCTAATCGAAACATAAAAGTAAATCCAAATAAAACAATGATATGTGAATACTACCAAATTCCTGAAACAGTTTTTATTGATCTTTTAATTTGGACAAAAAAAAATTTTCTACAGAAATAAAAAACACTTTAGATGCTGTATTAAAATGTTGTAGTTTATCAGAAAAAGTAGATTTACTATATATACCAGAATCATCAGAAAATTTACGTA